CTAGTGGCGTATCGCGGGCTAGTCGCGTATCACCACGCGTCTGAAGGGAACAGAGCGATGCGATCAGCGATAATCACTGAAAGATTCAAGAGCTTTACAACAACTGTGTAATTTGCAAGTACGAAACTGCCTTTAATACTTATCGGAAAGTTATTTAGGGGGGAGGGGGCAGTATGACTGACATTCACACTACAGTATAGTTATTACGGGCGATCGGGGGATGACAGTGACATGTGCAACAGGGATCAAAGTATGTTGTGACTTTTTCAAGTTGTGCCGAACTTTGTGTCAACTGGAAAGTTTTTAATGCAATTTTTATATCATAGTTGCTCCTGTAGGGCTAGTTTTGTTTTTATCTGTCAAGCGTTTTCTGTTCAAGATGACTATTGTATTGTTGTATCTATAGCAGCTAGTGGTTACTGTATTGTATTGTATCTATAGCAGCTAGTGGTTACTGTATTGTATTGTATCTATCGCAGCTAGTGGTTACTGTATTGTATTGTATCTATCGCAGCTAGTGGTTACTGTATTGTATCTATCGCAGCTAGTGGTTACTGTATTGTATTGTATTATCATATTGCTGTATCGTATTATCATATTACTGTATTATCGTATTTATTACTGCTAGTGGTATTACTGTATCGCTTTGTATCGTAGCTAGTAATTGCTATATCGCAGCTAGTGGGTACTGTATCGCAGGTAGTAATTGCTATATGGCAGGTAGTGGCTACTGTATCGCCTTGTATCGTAGCTAGTAATTGCTATATCGCAGCTAGTGGCTACTGTATCGCCTTGTATCGTAGCTAGTAATTGCTATATGGCAGGTAGTGGTTACTGTATCGCCTTGTATCGTAGCTAGTAATTGCTATATCGCAGCTAGTGGCTACTGTATCGCCTTGTATCGTAGCTAGTAATTGCTATATCGCAGCTAGTGGCTACGGTATCGCCTTGTATCGTAGCTAGTAATTGCTATATGGCAGGTAGTGGTTACTGTATCGCCTTGTATCGTAGCTAGTAATTGCTATATGGCAGGTAGTGGCTACTGTATCGCCTTGTATCGTAGCTAGTAATTGATATATCGCAGCTAGTGGCTACTGTATCGCCTTGTATCGTAGCTAGTAATTGCTATATCGCAGCTAGTGGCTACTGTATCGCCTTGTATCGTAGCTAGTAATTGCTATATCGCAGCTAGTGGTTACTGTATCGCCTTGTATCGTAGCTAGTAATTGCTATATCGCAGCTAGTGGTTACTGTATCGCCTTGTATCGTAGCTAGTAATTGCTATATCGCAGCTAGTGGCTACTGTATCGCCTTGTATTGTATCGTAGTGATTACATATCGTTCAGTATCGCTGCATAGGTGTTTCCTATCGCGCTCTATCGCTGCGATGTGGTTGCAATATCTCTACTACGATCACCTCAAACATCACCATTGGTCTGTCGAACCACTTGGGCTGGACGGTTGAACGACGGTTTCGCTTCATGCAGGTCGGGGTTCAATCCCCCGATCGTCCACAAGTGGTTGGGCGCCATTCCTTTCCCCCCGTCCCATCCCAAATCCTTATCCTGACACGTTCTAAGCGTTATATAGTCGTAATGGCTTGGTGCTTTCCCCCTGATTTTATTCTTCACTGGTCTAGCGACTTTAAACAACCCTTGACCTATCTTGGTTATCTTGATTTCGGGGCTTAGCGTCCCCGAGGCCCGGTCCTCGACCAGGCCTCCTTTTTGTTAAATTTCCCCAGGAAGCAGCCCGTAGCAGCTGTCTAACTCCGAGGTACCTATTTACTGCTAGGTGAAGAGGGTGTGTGTGTGTGTGTATATATTCACCTAGTTGTGCTTGCGGGGGTTGAGCTCTGCTCTTTCGGCCCGCCTCTCAACTGTCAATCAACTGTTACTAACTGCTAATATGTCTCTCTCTCTCTCTCTGTCTGTCTCTGTCTCTCTCTCTGTCTCTGTCTGTCTCTGTCTGTCTCTCTCTCTCTCTCTCTCTCTCTCTCTCTCTCTCTCTCTCTCTCTCTCCTCTCTCTCTCTCTCTCTCTCTCTCTCTCTCTCTCTCTCTCTCTCTCTCTCTCTCTCTCTCTCTCTCTCTCTCTCTCTCTCTCTCTCTCTCTCTCTCTCTCTCTCTCTCTCTCTCTCTCTCTCTCTCTCTCTCTCTCTCTCTCTCTCTCTCTCTCTCTCTCTCTCTCTCTCTCTCTCTCTCTCTCTCTCTCTCTCTCTCTCTCTCTCTCTCTCTCTCTCTCTCTCTCTCTCTCTCTCTCGAAGTAATCTTTCTAACATTGGGTCTTCAAACCTTTCATGCGTGTTCCACACCCTGATGGCTTGGTGCTGCAGTCTGATGTTTAGTGGCTGTATGTTCAGGAGCTCATGGAGCTCCTGGATTGTCTGATCATATGGTGGACGGTGTTTTGCTGCTCTCCTTAGCTCCTTATTTTCCACCGCTTAACAGATGGTTTTCTTTAAGGTATGTAGTGGTATTGAATGGTATTCTAGATGCGTATAAGTGTTCGGAATCTTCTGTTTTCCTAAGGTGTTCGATTTCCTAAGATCCTACCAATCTAGAGACCCAATAGTCTGCCTATCTCCACGTATTAGATAAGACGATTGTCAATGATTAAATCCACAAAGGCCGTGACGAGGATTCGAACCTGCGTCCGGGAGCATCCCAGACACTGCCTTAATCGACTGAGCTACGACAGGGTTAAAAGGGTTGAAACCCTTTTGTAGCTCAGTCGATTAAGGCAGTGTCTGGGATGCTCCTGGTCGCAGGTTCGAATCCTCGTCACGGCCCCTGTGGATTTGTTCATTTGATGCATCACGTTAGTGTGATCTGTTTATTGTCAATGATGATTGGGGTCTGAGTTTCTTGTTGAAGTCTGCATTATCTGGAACTTTATCTGTATTTTCATTGCTTTTCAGAGTTCTGTAAGAATTCAATTGCAGCCTTGTTGGTCAGAATCGTCTTTGATGGGGATAGTTGGCATATTCCTGGGGTGAGGGGGATAGAGGATACATAGAGGATACATAGAGGATACATAGAGGATACATAGAGGATACATAGAGGATACATAGAGGATACATAGAGGATACATAGAGGATACATAGAGGAAGACGTATATAGAGAGAATATCGAGATGAACCGAAGATACAAGATAGGAAAGATGACACGATTGCCTCTAAAACGGAAAGGATAAAGCTAAATAGATATACAGAGGCCAGAGAGGGGCTAGGAGGCAGAGGCTAGGAATATCTCTGGCTAGGATCCCCTGGCTAGGATCCCTGGCTCCTAGCCAGGGAGGTGAGATGAAACGATGGCCCTGACTCTGAACATAGTTGATAACGACCATTAGCCTCCAGTGATACCCGAGCAGCGTTGAGGTTAGGGTGTTTGTGGTTTGTTTATGATCGTCAGCTGATTACAGTTCTAATGTTTTGAAAAGTGATTATTTGTGGGTGTAATTTTATATGTTTATTGTAGAATTAGTTCGTTAAATTAGCAGGTTGTGTGCTCTCTCTGTCCTCCCCCCCCCTCCTCCTCTCTGTCTGTCTGTCTCTCTGTCTGTCCTGTCTGTCCTGTCTCTGTCTGTCTGTCCTGTCTCTGTCTGTCTGTCCTGTCTCTGTCTGTCTGTCCTGTCTCTGTCTGTCTGTCCTGTCTCTGTCTGTCTGTCCTGTCTCTGTCTGTCTGTCCTGTCTCTGTCTGTCTGTCCTGTCTCTGTCTGTCTCTGTCTGTCTCTGTCTCTGTCTCTGTCTGTCTCTGTCTCTCTGTCCCTCTCTCTGTCTCCCTGTCCCTCTCTCTGTCTCTCTGTCCCTCTCTCTGTCTCTCTGTCCCTCTCTCTGTCTCTCTGTCCCTCTCTCTGTCTCTCTGTCCCTCTCTCTGTCTCTCTGTCCCTCTCTCTGTCTCTCTGTCCCTCTCTCTGTCTCTCTGTCTCTCTCTCCCTCTCTCCACTTGGTTCCTTAATGGTCATAGTGTATTGTAGTGTGCCTATTGCACCTCTGCTTTTGAATAGGGGTATTTTTGCACTTCCTGCCATGCCTCCTGGCCTCATATAAAGAGTTGTTTCCATATGCAGATTTAGAACCCAATCCCAATCACTCGCGAGACACGGATTGTGTATTCACTTAGTTGTGTTCATCTAGTTGTGCTTGCGGGGGTTGAGCTCTGCTCTTTCGGGCCGCCTATCAACTGTCAATCAACTGTTTCTACTACTATTTATCCCCACCCCACACACACACAGCCCAGGAAGCAGCCCGTGACAGCTGGCTAACTCCCAGGTACCTATTTACTGCTAGGTAACAGGAGCATCAAAGTGAAAGAAACTCTATCCATTGTTTCTCACCGGTGCCCGGGATCGAACCCAGGATCACGCGTCCAGTGTTCTATCCGCTCAGCCACCAGCTCCTTGGCACCGAGAGGTGGCGGCACTAACCCACAGACCAGTGCCACTGATAAGTATACCACATAATCCGCTGGAGAAGGTATAATCAGGCCAAGAATGATGAATCAACACTTAGTGAGAAGCAAGTTTAAGACAAGCAAGTTTAAGACAAGCCTTCGTGGCTTTTAAAAGGGAAAGTCTCACGCCCTGATAAACTTGATCAAGTTCTATCACTGGAAAAAAAACAGGTTTGGGTAGAATGTGTTTTTCTAGATTGTTAAAAAAAAGTTTTGGGCGTGGTTCCTTGTGGAGGGCTGGCGGGCATGATGGAGCCATTTAGAGGGGGGGGGGGAGCTGGGAAGACATTGTCCTGGGTAAATAACTACCTGACAGAAAGCAAATCAGTTCTGCTATTTCACCACTTCTGTATCACTAACGCCTTGTTCCACACCACAACCACCACCACAGCCACCATCACCCCCCCCCCCCACCACCACCACCACCACACAACCACTCTTGCTAGCCACGACCATCCCCCACAATTCATCACCTAATTAGTAACGTTGATTTCTGGCTGTCAAACGTCAAATCCTTGTTAATATATCTCCAGCAATATAGCCTTTAGGAACACATCTCTCCCCTGTCAAAAACATCGAAGCCCGCGTCGGACCCCGCGTCGGACCCCGCGTCGGACCCCGCGTCGGACCCCGCGTCGGACCCCGCGTCGGACCCCGCGTCGGACCCCGCGTCGGACCCCGCGTCGGACCCCGCGTCGGACCCCGCGTCGGACCCCGCGTCGGACCCCGCGTCGGACCCCGCGTCGAAACCCCGCGTCGAAGCCGGCTTCGAAACCCCGCGTCGAAGCCGGCTTCGAAACCCCGCGTCGAAACCCCGCGTCGAAACCCCGCGTCGAAACCCCGCGTCGAAACCCCGCGTCGAAACCCCGCGTCGAAACCCCGCGTCGAAACCCCGCGTCGAAACCCCGCGTCGAACCCCGCGTCGAAGCCAGCCAGTAATTGGGTAGCGATCAATCACAAACTATCGACTAATCACGTCAGGACTGCCAATCAGAGGTGCCTGTTATGCCGTATTCCAGGCGCGGTCGTAGGCCCCTTAACACATGTATCAGGTGAGGAAGAATGTGGCATGTGTGATTTATGTGTCCATGTTGAGGAATGTGTGGGAGAGAGGAGAGGGAGAGGGAGGGGGAGGGAGAGGGAGGGGGAGGGAGAGGGAGGGAGAGGGAGAGGGAGAGGGAGAGAGAGGGAGGGGAGGGGGAGGGAGAGGGAGGGGGTGGGAGAGGGAGGGGGAGGGAGAGCGAGGGGGAGGGAGAGGGAGGGGGAGGGAGGGAGAGGGGGAGGGAGAGGGGGAGGGAGGGGGAGGGAGGGGGAGGGAGAGGGAGGGGGAGGGGGGGGAGGGAGGGGGAGATGGAGACACAGAATTCCACAGAGTAAATAATCCTGTCATTCAATGCATATGATAATTAGACAGGCAATAGGCACTTAAGATCATACAATCAACTGGAACAGGTGAAAGATTGTTAGCTGAGCTGAGACACGATTGGGAGCGCACCCCATCCCCCCCCCCCCCAATCCCCTCCTCATCATTTCAGACCATCGACCTGTTTGAAGCTCCCACTGGATGAATCATTACACCACCTCCAACTTGGGGCTCATTTCACGCCACATAAATCCTTAATGCCGGTGCTATTGAGGCGATAAGTGTTTGACCGCTCACCGTGCATTGATAAACTCTTCCTTCTTCTTGACCCGTATTTCGTTTCTCGTATTATTTTTTCCCCTTTCTCAAGCTGGACTAGGAGGGAAACAGGAGGAAGATGGAGAGATTAACAGGGCATAAAGAGAGAGGTTTATGGAGTGACAGATATGCGAAGATGTTGACACATTTGCACTGTCTTATCTGGCCGATGGAGAAGAAATGCCAGCTTCTTGACTAACGGCCCTATCCCCCTCTCTGAGTCATCCTAGACTTGTTAAACGGGAGCGTTTTAATGCAATGTGATTATTGAATTGCAAGTAGTTTATAACGTTTTAATCTGACCTGGTCTATCAGACTGGTAACAATATTCCATACTTAATTGAGGGGATCTCAGAGATCTACAGAATTTTGGATTTTTAAAACAAGTTCTACTCGAGCAATTTGGTAAAATGCAAACCCCCCCCCCCCCCCACACACACACACACAGGACATAACACCAGACCTAACTCCAGAGGCTCGTATAAACAGAATAACATCAGCGGCATACTCTACTCTGGCAAAAGTCAGAACATCCTTCAGTAACCTGAATAAGGAGGCTTTTAGATCACTGTATACCGCCTATGTGAGGCCAGTCTTAGAGTATGCCGACCCATCCTGGAGCCCCCATCTTAAATAACACACAAGGAAGCTCGAAAAGGTGCAGAAGTTTGCAACGAGACTCGTCCCAGAGCTGCGAGGGTTCAGGTACGAAGACAGACTGAAGGAACTAAACCTGACGACGCTAGAGAGGAGGAGGGAGAAGGGGGACATGATACAGACGTATAAGATACTTAGAGGGATTGACAGGAAATGTTTACAATTAATAACAATAGAACAAGGGGGGGGGGGGCACGGATGGAAGCTTGACTCAGATGTCATAGAGATGTTAGAAAGTTTCCTCTAAGCATAAGGGTAGTGAGTAAATGGATTGACCTAAATGAGCAGATTGAAGAAGTCAACTCCATTCTTAACTTTAAAAGCAGGTATGATAGGGAAATAGGGCAGGAGTCATTGCATTAGACAACGGCTAGAAAAGCGGAGTCAAAGAGCTAGAGCTCGATCCTGCAGGCACAAATAGGTGAATAGAACAGACAGCTGAGAAGCATAGCCGTCTCTGAAGAAATTATGGATTACATAAACGTAAAAAGTAAGGAACCAGAGACTAATTTCACACCACCAACAGTACTTCGAAACTCCCCTAAGAGGATGACCTTCTCACGCAAGGAGGATTAAAAGGGGCAGATAATGGAACAATTGCCTTGGGAACTCAATGTGTTAGAAATAGGAGGCATGACGTGGAATTGAACCCGCACACTGGGTTCACACCCCCACTCACACGGACCTATAAATCCTTGGACCAGTGTGCAAGTTCGAAGCCTCTTCCTCATGGCTGCTCCTCATAATCTCATTGATACACAACGTTAATGTTTCTTATTTGCTTGACAATATTGGTGTTTGGCCCTCCAGTACATCCTGGCTCTTGGGCAAGCAGCTGTGGGGGGACACGACTTCTTGAAAGCATCGTCTCTGTGGGTATTGAAGCAATGAGATCGAAGACCATTGGTGGGTTCTTGTAGTCTGAGTTCGAGTCTCTGAGCAAAGACTTTTGTAGCTCCTGGACTGTCTGGTCATATGATGGTGTTTTGCAACTCGTTAGTGACTAAGAGTTCTTTAAGAGTTCTTTAAGACCTATAGTAGCACAAGTGAGGATTATTAGAGATGACTTAAGTGGCTTAAGATGTCTTAGGACCAGCTTACAGCTTTGCTTATATAAGGCTAAGGGATATAGAATCCAATTCCTTTGCTTAAGGATATCTCTTTCCACTATCCACTGGCGATCCTGCCAGGCTAAGATACCCCCCTCCCCCCCCCCTCTCTATCGTGATGGATAGGTCACGTTCCCTGTATTTCACGGCTATCCGTCAAGAGGGCTGCCATGCTTGACTGGGTCTTCGCCAGTGCTGCTACTATTCTCACTATCCAGCCCCTTGAGATGCGTTCCTCGTCGCGGTCTGTTGGTAAAGTGGTCCTCGTTTTGTGTCCACGTGACCCCAAGTTTGGTATATTGGTGAATAGTGGTTATAGGACAGTTACAGCCCCGCTCCTGTGTTAGGGAAGTCCACTACGGGATCACCATAGCCCGCGCTACTTGCCCCGCTCCTGTGTTAGGGAAGTCCACTACGGGATCACCATAGCCCGCGCTACTTGCCCCGCTCCTGTGCCAGGTAAGTCCACTACGGGCTCACCATAGCCCGTTCTACTTGCCCCGCTCCTGTGCCAGGTAAGTCCACTACGGGATCACCATAGCCCGCGCTACTTGCCCCGCTCCTGTGTTAGGGAAGTCCACTACGGGATCACCATAGCCCGCGCTACTTGCCCTGCTCCTGTGCCAGGTAAGTCCACTACGGGCTCACCATAGCCCGCGCTACTTGCCCTGCTCCTGTGCCAGGTAAGTCCACTACGGGCTCACCATAGCCTGTGCTACTTGGAACCTTTTTGTTCCCGGTAGCTGAATCTTAAACGACAATGGTTATAGGAACACTTGATTGCTCTTTGTTGCTGGGTTTTCAGGAGAGTATGAGGAGTTGTGGTTGAGTTAGGTCACGGTACATGGTGATACGAGCACACGTACACACACTCACACACTCAGGCACGCACGAACAGAGACAGACAGACCCCAAAATGGTGTGTTTCACACTATCAATTACGCAGTCTACACACCTTCACACACATACCCCCACACACCACACACATGGAAACACTAACGTAATTGATTCTGTGGGTTGAGGTCCGGCTCTTTGGTCCCGCCTCTCAACCGTCAATCAACTGGTGTACAGGTTCCTGAGCCTACTGGGCTCTATCATATCTACACTTGAAACTGTGTATGGAGTCAGCCTCCACCACACCACTGCCTAATGCATTCCATTTATTAACTACTCTGACACTGATTTCTTTGTCCCTTTGGCTCATTTGGGTACTCAGTTTCCACCTGTGTCCCCTTGTTCAGGGGCCAAACGAGGTGAGTAGTCTTTAGGGGGGTGTCATCGTTTGTGTGGGGGTGGTGATTAGTGTGTGGGGGGATGGTGATTACACTGGATAGTCACGACTCAGCTTCCAATATCAATCATTCAAGACTACTTCCTTAGACAAGACTCATTCCTCGTGATCCAGTTAAATCACTGTGAGAATATAATTTTTCCAGAGAAATATTGGTATTTGGTGTGAAATTTTGCCATTAATCTAATTATTAATTGAAAATTTGATAATCAAGAATTTTTTACACAATTCACCTGTGACGGAGCCACAATTATCTTACTGAAATTATATTTTAATAAAATAGCAGAAACATGTAAAGTAGTTTATAGAAACACAATTTATTTTTAAGATTACATTAATATTGTTATATAAAAATTTTACTTTATAAATGTAATGACTTCACAAAGTGTTTAGTTATATTTTTAAGTGTAAATAACATAAGTCTTTATTAACCCTCTCCAAGCGGTCGAGGCCATTATCGTGTCAAAGGGGAGGAAACATGAAAGCCTGAAGAGGGGGGGGGGGGGGTCTGCAAGTTCTTTGTGGGGGCGGGGGGGGGGGGCGACAACCCCTTCCCATTTATCGGAAATTGTTCACGAGATTTCCCCCTCTTCATCTCCCTCTGCCCTTTGACACCCTTTACCCATTTTGACACCCCCTTCCCCTTGTCCCAATCCCCTCATGCTCCCCAATCCCCCTTGAAGGCTACTTGATTGGGTTCTGGGAGTTCTTCTACTCCCCCAAGCCCGGCCCGAGGCCAGGCTTGACCTGTGAGAGCTTGGTCCACCAGGCTGTTGCTTGGAGAATGCTCCTTACCCTACCTACAGGAGCCGGTCGGCCGAGCGGATAGCACACTGGACTTGTGATCCTGTGGTCCCGGGTTCGATCCCGGGCGCCGGCGAAAAACAATGGGCAGTTTCTTTCATCCTATGCCCCCTGTTACCTAGCAGTAAAATAGGTACCTGGGTGTTAGTCAGCTGTCACTGGCTGCTTTGTGGGGGTGGAGGCCTGGTCGAGGACCGGGCCGCGGGGACACTAAAGCCCCGAAATCATCTCAAGATAACTTCAAGCTATCATGTTGCCATGATAAATGAGGCCCTGTCATTGGACTTTATCGATATCCGGCTATATATAGGTGGTTATCTTGAGGTTATCTTGAGATGATTTCGGGGCTTTTAGTGTCCCCGCGGCCCGGTCCTCGACCAGGCCTCCACCCCCAGGGTGGAGTGA